TCTGCGTATTTGTTTTAATCCTTGCTGATTTGATAGAAAAATGGCAAAAATGGAAGTTTGCATTTTCTTTGATTACAAGAGAGGTTAACATTTATATATACACATATACATATACAATGTTGGGCATTTGTAGTTCTCTTTAATTTTCTGTTCATTTCTCTGACTCATTTAGAAAGTTTAAGTATTCATCTTTTTCTCATACTTGCTTTATATATTCTGGAGACAAGTACTTCACAGGAGAAGGATGCAACTGAGCTGGATTTGAAGGCTAAATAGAATTTCACTGGGTGAACTGGGGTAAAGACGGTGTTTTAGGTACAGAAACAGCATGTGCAAAGGTCCAGAGGTGTTGTGTGTTTGGGGACTGTATTCATTTCATAGGGCTACCTTAAAAAAAAAAAAAAAAAAAGAATCACAAACTTGGTGGCCTAAGACAACAGGAATTTATTTTCTCACAGTCTGGAAGCCAAAGTCCAAAATCATGGTGTAGGCAGGGTCATGCTCCCAGCCAAGGCCCTAGGGGGAGAATTATTACTTGCCTCTTTTAAAGTCTGGTGACTCCATCCATTCCTTGACTTTGGCAGCATAAGTCCAGTCTCTGCCTCCATCTCCACATGGCTTTCTTCTGTGTGTCTGTGTTCTCTCCCCTCCTGTTTCCCATGAGGGCACATCATCAGATTCAGGACCCACTCAGTTAGTTTAGGATAGTATCATCTCGAGATCCTTAACTTAATTACATCTGCAAAGACCATTTTCCCAAATAAAGTCACATTCACAGGTACCAAAGTTCGGATTTGGACATACACATTTGGGGCTACTATTCAACCTACTACAGGGACCTAGGTATTATAGGGCAGAAGACTATGACCCTGTAAAGGTAGAGTTGGTGACTGTGAAGGACCTTGAACTGAGGAGTTCGGGCTACACCTTGAAGTGAATGGGGAACTGTTAAATTTTGAACAGGGGAGAGAGTGTTGGAATTGTCCTCATAAGAGTTGGAGAGGGCAGGGAGGAGGAAGTACAGTTCAGGGTGTAGGAGGTGAGGAGCAGGAAGAGGGAAGAATCTGAAACGTCTCCTAGGTCTCCAGCCTGACTGATCTGGCATAGAAGGTAGAGATGTTCAAGAAACAATCAGAGAGACAGGTCTGCAGCTCAGACCTCACCCTGGCGTGTAAATAAGATTTGAGAGAAGGAACCAAGTAGGAGTGACAGAAGCCTGGGAAACACCAATTTTTTCCTACCATTTTATTCTAAAAAAATGCCAACATACTTAAAAGTTTAAAGAAGTGTACAGTGAACACCCACATACCCACCATCTAGAGTCTATAATTATCATTTTTCTATACTTGCTTTATCACACATCTATCCATCTCTCTGCACATCCTCAGCCCATCTTATTTTTTTATGTGTTTCAGAGTAAGTTGCTGACATCAGTACACTTAACTTCAACACATAAGCGTGCGTGTCATTAACTAGAGTTCAATTTTTTGTGACATGCACAAATCCTCAGTGTACTATTTGATGAATGAATCAACCTGTGTGCCCCAAATCCCTGTCAAGATACAGAACATTTCCATTACCCCAGGAAGTTCCCTGTGCCCCTTACAGTCAACTTCTGTCTCTACCCCACACCCAGAGGCAACCACTGTTTTTTTTTCAGCCATAGATTCGTTTTAGAACTTCATATAAGTGGAGCCATACAGGATATGCTCTTTTGTGTCTGGCTTCTTTCATTTAGTGTGAGAGTCTGTAGGAGTCTGTGAGAGTCATTTCTGTCGTTGCTTGTATCAGTAGTTTGTCTCTTTTTATTGCTGAGCAGTGTTCTATTGTAAGGATATATCAGGAATACCAATTTTTAAAGGGTGGGCAAAGAAAGAGAATTCCACCAAAGAGACTTAGAAGGGACAGTGCAGGCAGTAGGAAAAGCAGACAGAATGTCAGGGAAAACCATCTGAATCAGTTATAATTAGGTTTAAATGCATATAACATAAAAACTAAATAACAGTCTTTCTTCTCTCTCTCTCTCTCTCTCTCTCTCTCTCTCTCTCTCTCTCTCTCTCTCTCATAAAAGAAGTCCAGAGGTAGACAGTCCGGGGGTGGTATGCTGGTTCATTATGCCATCATTGGCCCAGATTCCTAGCTTTCTGTTCAGCTATCTTCAGCACCGGCTTCTCTCTCCTCGTGGTTTAATATGGCTGCAGGAGCTCCAGCCATTCCATCTGCTTTTCAAACTGACAACAGAAGGTGGAAGCATGAAGAGGACCCAAAACAAACAAATAAACAAACAAAACATACCTTGCAGCTAAAACAATCTCTTTTAGCAGCCTTTCTCAAAGTTTCACACATCTCATTGGTCAGAACTTAATCCTATGACCCACAACACTAGGGAAAAGTAGTCTTTTAGCTAGCCACTGGGCACACTGTTACTCTAACTATAATGAGACTTGTGTTACTAGGAGAGAAATGGATATTGGCTGTCAGCAGCCTCCTCTGCCTTCTTTCTTTTGAGACCTAGTGGCCAAGCTATGGTCCACTCAGCATTCCTTTCTATGACCTTTTATCAGCTGAAGCCCATGCTTGGCAGATTTCCATCCTCCTACATTCCCAGAAGGCTTCTGCCCTTCTTTGATGGTTGGTTTCTCTGTCTTTTCTGTATCCCTTTTCCTGGTAGGGGTCTCCTGGGTCTCTGACCAGCTTCCTGAGCTGTCAGGGTCGTGTGGAGGTTGGAATGAAAGGGTAAGTGTCTAAGAACATTTGCAGAGAGTTCTCTGGGCACTTCCCTCCACTCCTGAGCCTCCCCACTCCTGTGGCTAGCACCTCTCAACTCCCTGTTTCCTCTTTGGTCAGCCTCCCCTGACAAGGAGGACTGTAGATTTCTCTGGAAGGTTAGTGATATTCAAAGGGAAAAGATGGCACCTGGAGATAAACAGACAGTCCTGGGTTCAGATCCTCTGTGCAAATCTGAGACTCAGTGACCATGGGGGGTAGTAAGAACAGCCTCCCAGATGTGGCTAGGTTGACAGGAGCAGCAGATGCCTGTGCATAGCCACTACTCTGATAAGGCTGAATTTGCACACCGCGGGGAGGCTGGCAGAGACCTTCCCACCCTGCTGTGGCCCAGCCAGCTCCAGGCTGTGTGGTAGAGGTAAACCACAACACCTTCCCTGCTGTCTTTTCTACCTCTGCCCTTGGGAAAGGTCCCGAGAGTACGGGATCTGGGAATTGGGCAGTGTATAGGAGAGTCGGTGTGGCCTGCTGGAATCTGAACTTCTGGCCAGGCCCGGGTTCACCTTAGCTAACACTCCCAGCCTTGACTCCAGGAGAAATAGGGCAGCCTGGAGCCTCCTGGAGGAGAAATGGCGAGTTAACATGATGTTTCGTTTCTTCCTTGTGCTTTTCCAAAGTGAACAGGTCTCAGCAAACAGCTAGGCCCCCTCATAGTGCCAGGCTCAGGCAGACCGGATGCTGCGCTCCTCTTCTTCCCTCCCGAACCCTGGAAGTAGCCAAGTTGGCTCACTCCCTGCCAGCCTCATAGGGCGTGGAGCCTATCCCCTGGGTCCATGGCAGACACACAGCTCAGTGGCTGGATCACTAGGTGCTGTGGTTCTTCACACGTGTGTCCGCCCTGGGAAAAAGATAACAGCCATGTCCCCTGACAGCTTAATGGGCTGTCGGCACCGGGACTGGAGAAGTCGGTAGGAGCAGGTGCAGCAAGGCTGGGGAAGCTCTCAGCTGCCAAAGGGCCAGATTGCACTGAGTGTGGCTGTGGCCAGACGCCCTGGTGACCTGTTGACACCGTTCTCAGGCTGCCGGCTGCCCCGGGGTTGGTGTGTGATGACAGAGGAGGAGGAGCCAGGCCCCAGTGGAGAACTTGGCTCAAGCCTTAGACCTGAGAGGGGCAGTGCGTTCCTCTGCCCATTCACTCCCTCCGCACACATTTCCTGAGGTCCTGCTGCATGTCGGCCCATGGTGCTGGGCACACAGTGATGGCTGAGACACTCAGTTTCTGCCCCAGGGGATGAGGGACAAATGAGCAGGATCAACAGGGGCACTGGAAGGCCATGAGCTGGAGGCGTTCTGAGCTGGGGTGCCAGGGAGCACATCCTGGAAGAAGTAATAGCGGAGTAGACGATGGAACAGGCCCAGCCGAGGGCTGGGAAGGGGCAAGTGGGAGGGTCCCTCACCCTGCTGTGGGAGAGACCCTACTGTTGGGGTTTGACTAGGGGCCTTTCTGAGGTGCTGCCCTGGAACCCAGGGAAGGGGTGTCTGTGCGTGGGATCTGGAGCCTGTGTGGTGCTGGCAGCCCAGGGGGCTAACAGCAACTCGACTTCCCTATAGTCTTTTCTTCCCTCCTTCTCCCAAGGGAGCCTACATTGAAATGATAGAAATAAGTGCTGGTTTTTGAGGCGTCTGTGTTCAATCGAGTCCCTGCCAGGCCTCTGTGCCTCTTTTGCGCCCACGCTCTGCCAGCCTTGTGCCCCGTCCTGCCCCAGGCCTTGTTTGGAGGGGTTAGGGCTCCCTTGGGTCCCTTCCTCAAGTCCCCACCCTGAAAACTGCTCTGCCCCTCTCAACCAGGGATGGGGGCCTCAGGGTAGAAATGGTACCCTCGGAGGAGGGGCTCAGGAAGTGACATAGCTGGGCCCGCCCCCACCTCCTATTCCCTATAAAAAGCAAAATGGTGACTCAGAGGAGAGTTGGAAGCGTCCTGCCTCCTGCTCCCACTGTTAATTTTTAGACTTGGAATTAGGCAGGAGGCGAAGGAAACAACAGCTCGGAATACGCGACTGACATGCTATTAAGCAGGTGGCACCCGCGACGCCGCTCCTCCCTGGCTCCCAGCAGCCCCTGAACTGCTGGGCTCCCCAGCCCGCGAGGCCCGGCCGTGGATGCTGCGGCCCGGAGCATGGCAGCCGGGGGCCGCCGCCGGCGCCCACTGCGCTACCAGTCCCTGGCAGCCCTTGTGGAGGACTCTCAGTGGCCTTTCTTGTTCCTTGTCTCAGACTTCAGCTACGGGGCAGACGACTACGACGGAGAGGGGAATGAGGAGCAGAAGGGGCCCCCGGAGGGCTCAGAGACCATGCCGTACATCGACGAGTCGCCCACCATGTCGCCCCAGCTCAGCGCTCGCAGCCAGGGCGGCGGGGACAGCATCTCCCCCACCCCACCTGAGGGGCTGGCACCCGGGGTAGGTACACCTGCTTTTTCTTCTGGGTTTGGGAAGAGGGGACTTTGGGGGAGGGGGTACCCAGCAGGCATGAGTGTCGTGGGCCAGGCTCTGCTTGGGATACTGCTGGGGGAGCCGGACTTGGGAAATTTGGACCTGGCTGTTTCTGGTGCCCTTGTTTCTTTCCAGTCCTGGACCCTCTCAGACTAGGCTCCCCTCTGCCCCACCTGCTGCTATCTCTGCCTCATCTACCAGCCGTCAGCTCCCCTTGCCTGCTGGACACCCTCATCTTCTCTCTCAGCCTTCGGGCCTTGGGGAGGAAGCTGTCTCTGTTCTCTGGGCCAAGGCTGGACGGTGGCTGCCTGTGTGGCCTGTGGGCTGGACATGCACATGCCAGCTCAGCAGAACAAGGCCCCCGTGCTCACTGTGGGGCAGAGCGAGCTGCTTCGGTGGCATTCCCTGAGGACCAAGGGCCCCAGCCGGCCCTCCTCTGGAAGGGAATGAGCCCTGACGCTGTCCACCTCAACTCTTGCTGACTGATGGAAGCTGTGTTCCAAAGAGAAGCATTTGACAAGGAATATTAAGTATGTGCTCTGAGACAAACCACAGGGCAGAGATGTGTGGAGGTTTGCAACGCTGTAATTAATGCTGTTCCTGGCCACAGGGACGGGCTCTCTCTGGGCCCAGCTTGTGCGCATGAGGCTGAGACACATGAGCAAGCAAGATAGAAATTCCTGGGGGCTGTTATTCTGAAGTTGGGGAGAATCAAAGCCGTTCCTCCATTGGGGAGGGGCTTGGAGTGCCTGGTCCTGCTGGGTAGAGGGCTTGTCCAGGTGTGTTTTGTGGCGGTCCCCTTTCTTCCCTCTACTACCCCCAAGGAACAGTCACTGAGATGCTATGAGATACTTGTTCCCCTCCTACAGGGCCCAGCACTTCCCCTACCCACTCTCCAGCCAGAAGGGAGGGATACCTGGACTCTCCCATTTCTTGAGACCCCCCTGCTTCCTTCCCTCCCAGCCTCCCTTGGCCACCCTCCACCCCTCTGCCAGCTCTCACCCCCCTCTTCACACACCGAGGTGGCTGTTATAGCCTTTGGCAACAAGGGCCTTGGCAACCAGCTTCCCACTTGGGAGAAGCCACATTGTTGCCATGGCAACAGAGGCAGAACTCAGTGGCTGCTAGGCAGTGCAAGTTTGGGAAGGGATGGTGGGGGCAGGTGGGAAGTGGAGGGGCTGAGGAGGGTGCTGGTCAGGTCCAGACCCCCCACAGCCGGCATTCTGGTGTGTTGCTTTGGTGTCCTAGGAAGGGTGACAGGTGAGAGACGGCCATCTTGGACATGCAGGGCAGGATTTTTGGTATTGGAGAAGGAGAGAGTATTCTGGACCTGAGGCCAACCAGGAAAGCCAGGAGGAGACTCTGGCTTTCCATTTCCGCCTTTAGGTCTCTCATCACAACAGGGCTCAGAGACACACCCCACCCCAGGGGTGGGGTGGGGACACAGCTGTTACCCACCATGAGCAGGTGCAGGAAGATTCTCTGTGGGACACAGCACAGGGCCAGGAATGCTAGCTGAGAGTTGAAAACATGGGGCCAAATAGAGCCACTTGCTGAAGAGAAGAAGCTTTTTTGCCATTTTCTTCTGGCTCTGCCTTCCTCCCTCCTTCTTCCCGCTTCCTGTCCTGGTTTCTTCCCTCATCACATGACCAGCTTGCTGGTGTGCTGGTCCGATGATTTTTAGATTCCCTGGTGAAAGGTACTGTCGGGCATAACGGAAGGTGCCCCTGCCTGGTGCTCTGAGGCCTTGGGGCAGTGACTTCAGTTTGTGGTTGCCCACTTTGCTCGGTGGCTCACGAGGGAATAACTTGGTTTGAGGACTTCGAAATGCAGAGATGCTACAACTGACTAAAGTGCTTGGGAACCGGAGGACTGAGGTTAATACCACTGGCTGGAAGTCATGAAAGCTAGGAGTATGGAGCACTTACCCGGTTTGGGCAGCTTAGGGAAGACTCCAGCCCAGAGCACCTCCTGCCTCCCCACTTCCCCTCCTGGAGCGCCATGTTTGCCCTTTCTACTGTGTCACTGGCCCCATCTAGTGGACTCGGCAAGTATTGCTATTTACATCGGGGTGCTGGAGACGGTTGACTCCTCCTGAGTACCTGGGCAGCAGTTGAAGTTTTTTTTTAACAAAAAAAAAAAGAGGAAGAGAGAAGAAGAAAGAAAGCCAAGGTTTCTGCTACTTGGCTCTGTTTATTTGGCCAGGCAGGTCCCCTCCCTGCCAGGCTTCCTGTTGGGGCCTTGGGAACCAAGGGGACTTTTAGACCAAATCAGACTATTGTTCCGGCCTCTGGCAGTGGGGCATTCCACAGCCAAATATGCAGCCACCCTGTGCCTAGAAGCCCAAAGTTTGGTCTTTGTGTTACTCACGATTCTCCAGAGAAACAGACCAATAGAATGCATACACACACACACACATTACAGAGAGAGAGAGATTTTTATTATAAGGACTTGACTCACTCAGTTATGGAGGCTGAGAAATCCTAAGATTTGCAGTCAGCAAACTAGGGACCCAAGAAAGCTGATGTATAGTTTGTGTCTGAGTCTGGAACCAGCAGAGCCAATGGTCTTCCAGACTAGAAAACCCGCAGGCTCGAGACCCGAGAAGAGCCAGTGTTTCAGTCTGAGTCTTAAGGCTGAAAAATACCCAGGTCCCAGTTCTACAGTCAGGCAAGAGGGGTTCCCTCTCACTCAGCAGCCAGTTTGTTCTATTCAGGTCTTCAACTGATTGGATGAGGCCCACCCACATTAGAGAGGGCAATCTGCTTTACTCAGTCAGCTGAGCCAGATGTTAATCTCATCAGAAACACCCTCACAGACACACCCTGAATGATTTTGTTCAAATGTCTGGGCACCCACGGCACAGTTAGGTTTACACAAAATTAAACATCACTGTCTTCCCCTTCCAACAGCCCAGAGAATGGCAGGAGCAGGAGCTTTGGACAGGTGCACATCTGCTCTTGCTAGCTGTGCGACATTGGAGGACTGTGATAATCCCTCTGAGCCTCAGTGTTCTCATCTCTAAGTAGGACTAACTACTTGAGAGGATAGACTGGGATAGCTGAGGTGAGGCCTGCAGCATTGTGCCAGGCTCTCTGTGGGTGCTCAGTCCTTGGTGACTACTGTTTGCGAGACTTTTTGCACCAGCTTTTAAGAGGAGTGGGGAGCTGGGAACATTGCTGATGTTTTGATGGACCCGGTCTGATGACTGTTTGCTGGACAAGACTGAATCTGCTTTAGCAACCTCTTTTCTGGGGTTGGATCAGTCCTGCCCAGTGTGGAAGCCCAGAGGAAGCCACGTCTCTGTGGTGTTGGCAGGACATACACTCTTCACTCCCCAACACTCTCCTACAGCCTGCTCCCCACTCCCCAAGATCTCAGTGTGAAACCTGAAGCCCTGCCTTGCCGATACTCACTCTCCCCAAGCCCAGGCTGAGCAGAGCTGGCAGGGCCAGGGCCACAGACCACCTGTGGTTCAGTTCCACTGACAGCCTGTTTTCACCCTGGGAAGGAGGGACGGACTCTCCATCTCCGCTGACAGCTGGGGGCACACATCCCGCTGCCAGTTTCATGGTCTTACAGAGAAGCTTGCTCCCCGTAAGCCATGGACTCCTTTGTCCACCCTTTTGGGAGGTGCAGTAAAAAGGGGCCATAGGAGAGGAAGAGAAGCTGGATGTTGCCTCAGCGCTGCCACTGTCTAGCTGTGTGACCTGAGCGATGTCAGTCACCCTCTCTGAGCTCCAGTTTTGCTCATCTCGAAAGTGGAGGTGCTGAGAATTTCCTCCTTCCTGACCTCACACAGCTGTTGCGAGGCTTCCACGAGATGGTGTTAAGCAGGGCACCTTGTAAATGATCAAGTCTGTATACCTTTTAGCTAGGACTGCTCAGTGTCGAACTCACTCTGTAGTTCCTGTGATACCCACAGCAGCTCAAAGGGTGTCTCACAAAAGGTTGAACTGAGCAATTCAGACTCCGATGTGCAGGAGAATCCAAAGATAAGGATGGGGGAGAGTTGAAATGATCACCACTGTTGTCCTCATCCCCCCCCCCCCCCATCACAGATACTTAGACTTTTGCTAAGCCTTTTACATGGATTGTCTCATTTGAAGCCAACCACAGCCCTATAAGGTAGGGACAGTGATCATCATTTTACAGTTGAGGACACGGAGGCTCGGAGAAGTGACTTAATTTGCCCAAGACAAACCAGTGGGGCTGGAGATGTGCTTCCAGGTCCACTCAGACACCATCTTCCTTGTGAAGCTTTTACAGCCCATCACTGAGCCCTCTGCTGTCTGGGAAATATGGTCACTGCCCCATCATCTCCATGGCCCTGGGCAGCAGCTCCCAGGCCAACCCCAAGGGGTGCTCACTTGGCGTTTGTGGAATTGAACTGAGAAGCACTGGGATGGCCAAGGAGGATGGGGCTGGGGGACAGATCAGTCTCAGGGAATGAAGCTGGGACGAATCTCTGCCTTCTCTTCCCTTCCTCGGTCCCTTCTTAGAAAAGGTTTGAGATTTGAGGTTGCAAAACAAGGAGTTTGCTACTAGGCGAGTGGAGAAGCACGGAGAGCGGGAGCGTCCGAGCTAGTGTCCTAGTCTGCGCCCATCGGACAGGTTCGAGGCCCGGGTTGGGTGGTTTATGCTCTCGGCATTTCCAGCTGCTGGGGGCGTCAGAGACATACTGTCTCCAGGCTGCCAACCTCCTGTCTGAGCAGCCTTGCTCCTCGTCTCCCTTTCTGGATCCCCGATCCTCGCCGCAAAGAGGGGACTAACTGCTTCCTCCTCGGTGCCAGGTGCTGTGCTGGGCGCCCACAGGCCTCATTGCCACCCAACTCCTCCAGTCACTGGGGGAGCCCCCATTTTGTAGCTAAAGAAACTAAGGTCCAGGAGGTTTCCTTAGCTTGTCTGAGTTGAGAAGGAGGTAAGTAGGGAGACATAGTGCCCTGAGGGTGACCCTCAGCACCCTC